ACCTCAAGAAACAGCATACAAAGAGCTTTTTAAAGATCAGATAAACTTGGGTTAGAATTGTGGTTCTGCCAATTTATGATCTTGAACATATCACAGACTTACTGATTCCCACTTTCCCAATCTGTAAATTGGCATTAATTTCTTCTTCATAGATTTTTACAACAATAAAATGAGACAATGCACGTACACAGTGTCTGGACACAGCATTTGTTAATAAGGGCTAAGGGTTGGCTATTTAGACTCTAAAGCATTTTGAAAATTATTCAGCACAGTAAGTTCAACACTTGTAATTTATCTAAAATATTAAAATGGATAACTATTTAAAAAATACAATTTGAAACCAAAAGGTACTAGCCATTGGGGAGCTTCCGTAGTTACTAGGCAGTTGTGAATTAAACGCACGAGGGAACGAACTAAAGAACTGTGCCTAGAAAATAATTGAACATTTTTGAAAAGAGTGTTATCACATTCAGATGTATAAAACGTGGAAGAAAAATCAAAATTGGAAATGCAGTTCAAAGAAGATTAATTATTTTATATTTATCTCAGAGCAAAGAGCCAAACAGGGGAATATGGGCTAACCAGGGTAATCACCTAGCAATCTAATCAGGAAAGGATTTGGGGGTGTTGTGAAATCGGCACAACCTTCATCGTGGGGCCCGAGGCTGTGCTGGATTAGGTTTCACAGGGACAGATGCATAACAAGAAGCACTGTTATTACTGTAAAGCCATGGTTGGGGTCTAGAAGGAATACTTTTACAATATTGATCACCTCTGGACACAAAAGATATTACTGCTTCAGAGAAGGGGCACAATGTCACAGCAACGCATCAATTCCACTAGGTCTCAAGAAAATAAATTTTTATGAGGAAAGGGTGAAAACAAACAGAGCTCAGTCACACTTGGGAAAAATATGTAAATAACTAATTTGAAAATATCAAGATAAGTCATAATGTGTTCAATGCAAGAAAGAAAGATATATATTAGTGAGCAAGGAATTTAAACACATGAACCTTCTCTGCTAAGAGTCTTCAAATAAAAAAGGAAAGATGAAAGGGAACTCAATCTTCAGTTAAAAAATAATTATAGGCCAACAGGACAATTCTTTTTCAACGAATACTAATGATTCACATAAAAACAATCCCTGAAGACAGGGAGAAAAAAAGAATAGCATAGCTTCTCAAGTAAGCTTGAGATTTAACTAGTTTTATGTCCTTTCACCTTCTGAATACAGATACTGTTAGATTTTAAAGATAAGACAGATTTAAAAATGAGACAAATGTAAAACACAAATCGACAACTCAGAAATAACTTTAAGATTTCCATTTAAAACAAACTTCTACATTTTTATACTGATTTTTTTAGAGATAAATGTCTATGTCAAATTTGGAACTTCTGCATAAAATCAACTTGTTAGCCTTAAAGATCTATCAATTCTTTTCTATATAAGAAACTGACACTGAAAATTTTTTTAATACAGCAATCCTTTTCTGACCAAGATACTGAAATTAATTAATCAATAAAATTTCAA